CGACCATGCACTTGTTCGAGAAGTTCAAGGCTTAAGGACAAGCAAAAAAGGATGATTCTTACTGACTTGTTCTTGCTTCTCAGGCCATTCTTCCGTAGAGGATGCTCAAGATGAAACCAATGTTAAGTGCTAAAAGAAACTGGGTTTAACCTAATTATATTTCCGCCATGGTAGTGATGTTTTGCTTTCACGCCCCATATATAAGCTCTATAATGGCGAGTATGAAGAATTGATTTTCATTACTTTTGATGATCATGGTGTTTTACATTTCGTCACCAAAAAAAAAAAATGGGTACCAAAGGCAAACCCACTTTTTTAAGTGAAACCAAATAGTCAGCATGTTGGTAAAAAAAAAAACCTACAGAAAATCTCAGCAAAAGCGGAGTTAGATTCAAGGAAAAGAAGGAATTTTTCTCGTATCATCCAGTTCTCATTGATTTTATCCACGGGTAATTGATCTAATATTACTCTTTACCTTGTATAAAAGTCTTGCCTACTTAAAATCAATGGTTCAATTGGCAATTTTGTCATATAAGAAACCATCCTATTCAGCTGTGAATAGCACCGTGGATAACTTGTGGGATCAAATGGGCCAATGATATGAGTACAGTACCTCGACTTGTGGATCAAATGTGCCAATCATTTTTGACATTTTTCAGTCATATCAATCCCCGAAGAGAAATTTAGCCACATAAATCATCTAGATAAATACTTCAAGGATGTGTGTATATAAGGCTGTCAATTTTTGATATGACACATTAATACTATACGAATTAAACATAAAATTACTGAGTCCGACACAAAATTAAACGAGTTAATGTGTTAAAACGAGTTAACATGCTTAAACACGAAAAAAATTATGCCGGGTTCATATAAAAATTAGATCATTCCTAATAAGAGTCATCTATATGAGTGTAAAAGGGTCGCTTCTGTGAGAATTTATAAAAGCTGAATTCTCTAAAACACTCATGAAAATCAAGAGTTATTCAGGGTTAAAATGAACACAATCATGATAATCAATTGTGTTAGGAAATAGATTGTGTGAAGTATATTCGTTTTGATTTATCAAACAACTGAATAGTTCAAGACATTATATTTACTATTTAGCCGGTAAGTCCAATGGGCTGTCACTAGGGAAGGTTCAAGGCCAAAAACTACCTATCTCGATGCACGATCTTTCCAAAGATGTACTATCTATAAAATGTGTCAGTATTATCATTTGCATATTAACAACCAATTTTTCATTTATGTGGGAGATTGTTGGATCAAAACAGTTTCATATATCAGTTTTTTAAGTGTAAAAACTAAATTTTTTGTCGAATTTGACCCTAAATTAAAGTGGGACATGTTCGTTGTTTCAAGTAAACTTTCGTGAGATCGTATTCTACTCGGTGAGAAAAATAATTTAGTATATTTACGTGTTCAAATCGAGTAAAAAATGAATAAAAAAGTAGGCTCTAAAGTGACCCTCTTGAAATGTGAAAATAAATGTTGTGCAATGTGGATTGACACCAATCTCACATTGGTTGAGAAAAAAGTTCTACATGGGCATATATAGGCCAAATGTGCTCTATGGGATTGAGCCCCAAGAAATACCACAATTTTATGAACGGAGCGATCGTTTATATGCCTACGGTTCTACCACACACGCTCGCGCCACCCACCACGACACAACCCAACGAGACTTGGGTGTGGGTGTATCTTTTTAGAAAAAAATTCGTTTAATTAATTGGGCGTGAATTTCTTAATCCAAAATTTAATTTTCGGTATCCGTTGGATAGCACTGGTTCAGATTTTTTTCTTCACTCTAGTCCGAAATTTGAGTTGTGTCTGTTTATACAGAACAATTACACAAGTAGTGTCTTCTGGCTGCATGTGATTGTTGGGTTGCATCTATTCACATACATGGTGATTGTCCAGTCATCATTCTCTCTATAAATTACACAATCACATAATCATTTTGAATCAATTAAATTTAATACATTCGTAGTCATTTAAGACAGTCTCATACATCATTAAGACAATCTGCATTTGAAAGTACACAACACAATTTTTCATTCAATGGACGGGTAGATTGGAGTGCTACTTTTACTCGTGTGAAGATCATTATATCCTGAGATGCAAACGCTTTATATTCCATAAGTACCGTGTGTGGAGGCGAAATCTGTCTTCAAGATATAGTGTCAAATACTAGCCTTGATCTACATAAAATTCAATAATAGTTATTGTTCTGCAACCGGGTTAGTATTTATATTAATTTGATAAATAGTTACATGTAACTGTTTCGTTAAGAATATAGTAACTGTTTCGTTTATTCTTTTGTAATTATTTCAATTTTATATATAACTGTTTTGCACTTGATTGTTACTGTTTTTTTATATATTACATATTTTAAATCAAAAATTTTAATAAGTGGTTTTACTATATTTAAAATACCTCAAACAACAATAATTACGCTAGAAATTAAACCACAATAGAGAATGTTTGTGCTAATATCCATATGCCACCTTTACATGCATGCATGCATACAAATAAGTCTCAAAACTCGATTCAGTTAGCATTAGGGGGGGGGGGGGGGGGGGTGAGATGATGAGGAATTCAGGCAACACCCAATTATTATTTTGTCTAATTCTTCGGCTAGTGAATAACCCCACACCTTTTAACTATTACACATCAAGCAAACTGTGCTAAAAAGCAAGTATATTATGCTATAGTATCTATATAATAAAATACAATAGAAAAAATGACTTTTGAATTTTGCAATTGAGATTGTCTTAAATTTTATTTTATAGTTAATCCGAAATGTAATATTAATTCCCCAAATTTAATGGGAAAAATAGGCATTCTCAGGGTTTGTTTGGAGTGAATTTTTAAATATACTTTTAGAATTTATAACTTCTCATAAACACGTTTAAAAAAAATAGTATTTAGAACAATTTATTTTAATTACTTCAAAATAAGTCAAAAATAATTTTACTGCTTAAAAAAGTAATTAACTAACAGTAAAAAAACAAAAAAACTTCTACTTCATTAAAATGACTTCTTTACAAAACACTTCATCACCAGCACCGTCGCCGACGCCACCCCACAACCACAATCGTCGTCGCCTTACCACCGTTGCCACCACCGCCGCCATTGCCACTACTACCACCACAACTGCCAATTGTCGCCTCTACCGCAACCACCATCACCACCACCCACCCACCACCACCATTGTCACCTACCACCAATTGCTACCACTGTTGTCACCTACCACCAATTGTTACAACTGTCGCCCACCGCCACCACCCACCTTCACCCACTATTACAACCTATTACCACTCGTCTTCACTCACCATCGTCGTCAACCACTATCACCCACCCTCGCCACTTCTACAACCACCACCCATCATTGCCCACCGCTGTCACCACCCACCCCTACTACACCTACCATCATTGTCGCCATTCGCTACCACCCGCAACAACCATTGCCCACACGCAACCATTGCCGCCCACCACCATTCACACTTACCATCACCATCTTCACCGCCCACCATAGCAACCCACCATTGCCACCATAATTGTCATCCCCCATCACCACTATTTGCAACCACCATTATCGTCGCCCACCACCACCCATACCCACCACCACCATAAGTTTCACTCATGATTGTCACTACCACCATCTTCACTCAAAATCCACCACTATCATCATCGTTGCCGCCCACGGGCTACCACCACCATCACGGTCATTGCCGACCACCACAACTATCACCGTCTCCCATCCCCACCATTGCTGCCCACCACCACTATCATCGCTCACCCTCACCAGAACTGGTGTTTAAATTTTTTTCTCTCTCCTCTCCTCTGTGTTTATGATTTGATTTCAAGTGTGACTACAAATATGTTTATGATTGACAATTTTTTTTTTATTACTGTGTGCCTTCTAGCAAATGCAAGGCAATAACTAGTAATTGTGTATTATGTTATACAACAAAAGCGATTAACTCTCTATTCATATTGAGTTAGAATCAAATCGGTTATAGTACATCCAAATCCATGTCATGAAAATATAATGTAAGATTAAGACGTTAGTTTAAATCATCAATCTATATTTGAATCATCGAATTTTGATTTGGATAAAAGTTTGATCAATGGAAAAACATTTATAAAACATGAGCTGGGAAAAGATGACTTTCCGATCATCATGGAATATGATAGCTGCCCAAAGAGGGAAGGTTGAAAAAAAAAAAAAAAAACCCAACAGAATCCGCTTGCGTAAGCCTACCGCCCGTTGACAATTGAGATAGTCCGAAAGCAAGAAGTGTTTTGCCGCCTTTGATTCTGATGTCTGTTCCATACAGATAGATTTCCTCCTCTTTTATGACATTTTGACTGTTATTAATCTTGTTAATCGATCGAATTTGTATCAATTTGAATATGTTTTTAGTAATCTAGTCAGCCTATCCGACTCATTTTATTTTTACAGCCCATAATCGAGTTCACTAAAAGTGCGATGTTTAATCTGAATATATGACTCGTTCCAAATAAAATTAATTAGAATTGATTTAAACAAATTATACATAAATTTTATAAAATAATCACAATTACATAAAATTTGGATTGAGTTATCATTGAATCAAGCGGTAATAAATCAAAATCATATTTGAATATTCGATCCAAAAACTGAATTCATATCCAACTAATCTCATTCATTTAGAATTAAAATACCATGTATAAACAAGGCTGATTGTTATAACTGTCTAACTCAAGCCTCTTGGGTGGAAATTTCATGAACTTGGCTGTCACCCGATGCAGTCAAACTTGAGCTAAATCTATACTTTTCTCTTGCATGTTGTAAAACTTCAATCTTTTGACATTAGGGCTAGTAAAAGTCAAAAACGACCAGCCAGAAGCTATCATGTTGTTGTTCTATAAATACCCATTTCGGTAGAGCTTGGTTATATCAATTACGAAGGAAGAGAAGGTAGCATAGCAACAAAAAACCCATAATCTCGAGAATGTCATCACAGTGTAAAGGTAAAAAGTTCAAGTTTTATGGCTAAGAATACTTTTAGAGCTTGTAATGCAAGGAGAGATACTCAACTCAACAAAATCAGTATTTACGTTTAAAAGAAAAACAAAATCATTATCTCTATTATTTTGAGTTGGCCACATGAATTTTATTTTTTCATTGTGCTCTATCAAGAGTCATACTTTTCATTCAACTATAAGATGTCATGTTCTTCTTTTCTATTTTGTTAAAAAATTGATTTTGGCTTACTACTATTTCTCACAATACCATTATTTTTTAGTGCAATACTAGGTCTCCTATGCACATCTCCAAGGCACCTGTGTTGATTCTTTCATAATCTATCTCATATTAGCATTTTTTCTACATTACTTTTATGAATATATTCATTTCTATTTCTATTTTTCTTATTTAATTCGCATCCATCATAATATTATAATTTGTACAACTGTTAGGGAAAAAACACACGGTACCAAAAATTATTTTCAATATTGTATTGTAAGCTACAATTCAATCAGATCAAATTATGACTCTAATGAGTGAGCTTACGACTTAATGACAGTAGGATTGATCCGAAAAACTTATTATCGATCCCAATAGTTTGAAACCCATCAAGTCGTAACTTGTTTCAGCTATGAATTTCTCAAATTTTCAGTACGGGCTGTAGTTTTTCTTATAATGGAAAACATATAACATGGTAATCTAATACAAAGTTTTGTGTCAATTCAGGAAAGGGTTCATGGCCCGAGCTCGTTGGGGTGAAGGGAGAGACTGCTGTGGCAATAATTGAAAGGGAGAATCCTTTGGTCACTGCTATCATTGTGCCAGAAGGTTCAAGCATCATCCTGGACGTTCGTTGTGATAGGGTTTGGGTTTGGGTTGACAAGAATGGCATCGTTTATTTGGTCCCCAAAATTGGTTAGGTTGGAAGAGAGTTGCCAAACTACCGATAATTTTTCTGTTGTTTTTATTTGAAATAATCCCAGAAGTGGAGTTTGTGTGGTCTCCATCTGTTGTACTTACCGTTAAATAAGGTGGATTTATAAGTGGCAATTATAATATTGATAATCTCTCTTTCTCTGTCTCCCTTTCCCTCTCCCTCCCCCTCTCCCTCTCTCTTCTTCTCTACATGTGTGTATGTGCACGTTTGTACAGATTATGTAGTATATTGATCACAAACCCCATGGTTGATTCAGCCATAATTGAACAACTTCAAAACAATATTTAGGACAATCTAGTGCACAAAACTTCGATCACTATGGAGTCCAAGGAAGGTGTATGCACATTATTTTATTCCTTATGCGAATAAATTATTTTCAAAACTTGAACTCGTGATGTCTTAATCACAATAAAGAAAGTTATTGTTGCACTGTCAACCTTAACACAACATCAAGAACCAAAATACAACAAATTGCTCACCTTCCATTGGAACATCATAATGGAAGAAACAATCCACTTCGATAGAAATAACTTGAACAAATTAAGGTTGACAAATGAGACTCATGGTTACACGAAAATTGCACCTAGATCTTTGAACGGATTGATAAATTTTGTCAAAATGTATATTATTCGAGAGTTGTATCGGTATCGATCAATACTTTGAATCATATAGAGAATTGTTGACCTAGGCATTGAAAGGCATCCTTTAAGTGACTGAAAAGGGTAGAGTTCATGAGACACCAATCAGAGCCATGGTGATAACCATCTCCAAAGCAGCTATATTGAGAACCATAACTTAATCCCCTTATTCCTTTAGCAGTTTTTTCAGTTGGCTAAAAATGCAACAGCTTTACTTTCCGAAAGAAAAGCAACAGCTTTTTCCAGAAATAGGAGGGAAAGATGGTTCAAATAATGGGTCAAATCACGCACAAACTTGGAGCCAAATAGTCCAAAATGTAAATGGGCTTTCTTCATTCTTAATTGAGAAGGGAATGAAGAGAATATGCAATGTAACAGTTATATCATATTGTCATATATACATTGCCTCACCAATCAATCATAAACAAACAACCACGACCAGTGAATCCCACTAAATTCCATAATAACCAATAACTTGCATATACCTTAATTACCATGTGCAATTAGTAGGGTCAACTAGTCATAGTTATTTGTTTATTGATTAGTTGGTAATATTATATATCAATTCTTAGATGGTATTAGGAACACATTCAAAAGTGATAATCTATTCAAGCTGTTAAGGTTACAAAGAACTCAAATTAATTATAGTACAAAAAAAATTACTTCTTGTTGTCGTACTACTTTTGATTTTAGGGGTTGTCAATTGTATCGAATCAAAAAGTTCGGTATTATATTGATTTCTATCACATTTACGAGTGTTTTTATCATTATTCTAATATCAAAAAAATTGGTAAAAATAATTACTACAACTATGATAAAAATATCTACAACAGTGATAAAAATAATCACAAATGTGATAAATCACTCATAAAAAGTGATAATTTTTTTTATCGAAAAAAATTATAAAAATAGTTATCATAAGAGTGATAAAAATACCTATAACTGTAATAAATTATCTATAAAAATAATAAATTTTTTTATTATAAAAATATTTATTAAAATAATAAAATTTAGAAGTATGATACTATTTTTTCTTCCCTTAAGATTGTCTAGTCCTTGATTTTATATGCAACCCTCGTCATCATGTACTTTGTTGATGGGATTGGTTGAAGTCCTAATTTATAATGTCAATCATTTGGACTTTATAGACAAGCAGTTGGTTATATGGTTAAGAATTCGGATTTTCTGGTCAATATTTAAGTTTAAAATTTTATAGTTACAACAGTTTGTTAGAATTATGTCTATTTTTCAGGCCCAGAGCATGCGATGGACTCTTAGCTTTGGTCTCGATATAAGTGTAGTGAGATCTCCGATAGATAGTTATATAATACTAAAAGATAATACTTTCTAGTGAATATGTGGAATGATCTATTTAAATATCTATTTTATATACCAAAAAAAAAAAAATCATTTTGACTTTTTTCAGTCATATTTTGAGGCTACTTCGTTGAATACACCATCCCTAAACATAAATTTAGCCACTTTCATCGACGTTGAGGTGTACCCCAAAGGTCGCAAAATCTAGCTGCCACATAAATTATTAAGATCTATGAAGCACGGATACGGATATAAAATACGGGTAGAATAAGATACGACAAAGTCTAAAATAATAGAATATGGGTACGGCCAGGATACGACTATAATAAAATATATTTATTATTTTTATTATTTTCAACCAATTTAACACTTATATATTTTGATAATTCTTCAACATATAATAAGGAAAATTAGTATTTTTTTTTAGTTTTAAAAAAATATATATCGTGTAGTTGTGATATATTCACAAAGTGAATGGACTAATTAAAAGAATCAAACCTAATATTTACCTAGTATTTAGAAGTAATTTTTTTAAGATTATAATGTAATAGCTTTATTATATGGTCTTTTGACTTGTAATTGTAGATAATACTTAAAAAATATTCATATGCCTTTGAAGTAATATAAAATTTTTGTTAATGTTTGTATGATATGTGAATTCAAAAAAAGATGTTAAAAGTTCAACTAAAAAAATTATATTTATTGCTCTACTACAAAAGTATCCTAATATATTTAATTATTATCGGATACGTAGAAGGTATATCCGATACGTATCCTCGAGTATCCGACGAGTATCGTATCTGATACGGGTATATCAATTTCAACGAAGTATCCGTACTTCATAGATTAAGACAAAGGCTTCCAAGAGCACGAACGTGTAAATTTTATCCCTTTTATCAACAATAAAAACTTGAATTTGTCGAACTCGATCGTTCAAATTCTAAATCGACCAATCACTTCACCTCTTTGTATTTTAGAAGTGTTTTCATAATTTTTTGCAAGGTACATTATATTTGGGAAGATTTTATTTTGCTCCTTGAAAGATATACAAATTTTTAGTTTTTTTGCTCCGAATGAGTAATTTTTTCACATTGTCCCCTCAAAAAAATACAAAAGTATAATGTGGTCCAAAAAAGTTGTTATCTACTTCTAAAAACGTTACAATAAAAACATTTTGGACCATATTGTAATGTTTTTATTTATTTGAGGGGGTAATGTGAAAAAATTAATTATTCAAGAGACAAATTGAGAATTTTTGTATCTTTTAAGAGGCAAAATAAGATTTTCAACTATGTTATTTTTATTATCTTCTCCCATCAACAATCATATTTCTTTGCACTTTCAATTATATGTTATTAATTTGATATTGATTTCAATAATTAACGCTCGATAAAAATTTAACAAAGTTGTTTCTTTTTGCCTCTCAAACTATATGTTTTCTTTCACCTTACTATCGATACGTTAACAATTTTGTCTAGAAGAAAAATAATTTTACGTTTGGGATAATGTGAAATTAATTCAAATAGTGAAGAAGACAATGTGATAGATTTAACAATATTCAAGATAATTGGAATTGATTCCATAATTAAGGTGGTCAACGTATAATTTACCCTTCTTGTAACAATTAGGAGTTCCATCAAAATTAATGTTTCAATAATTGCGCTAAAAATTAAACCAAAATAGAGAATGCTTGTGCTAATATCTATGCATCACCTTTACATACATGCATACATACGAATAAGAAAACTCGATACAGTTAGCATAGGGGGTGATCCGCTTTAAATTACATGAAATGTAGTGTTCCCCATTATGATGAGAAATTCAGGCAGTGCTCAACTATTATTTTGTTTAACTCTTTGGTTAGTGAGTAAACCCCCACCTACTGACTATAGCACATCAAGCAGTTGTACTAAAAAGTAAGTATAATATGCTCGCTATAATATAATATCGTATGTTATGTTGTAAAACGAAAGTGATATAGTATATCTAAATCCATGTCATGAAAATATGATGTAAGATTCAAACATTAGTTAAAATGAATCATCGAATTTATATTTGGATAAAAGTGCGATCATCATATGTTTGAAACGGAAATATTTTATCAGCTTGTGGAGGCCTATCTAACTCTATGGCGAAGCATGGGCGGAGGATGACAATAGATAAATAAGGATTGCCTTAGAACTGCAAAGTTCGATAATCATGGAATATGATAGCTGCCCAAAAAGAGGACGTCGAAGAAAAAAACCAACAATATCCTCTTGCGTAAGCCTACCACCCATTGACAGTTGACAATTAACGTTCAAATTTGTATCAATCTGAATCTGTTTTAAGAAATCTAGTCTGCTTATCCAACTCATTTTATTTTTACAGCCCATAACTAAGTTCACTAAAAGTGCGATATTTAATTTGAATATCTGACCCAATCCAAATAAACTTAATTAGAATTGATTTACACAAATTATACATAAATTTTATGAAATAATCACAATTTTATAAAATTCGGATCGAGTTATTATTGAATCGGACGGTAATAAATCAAATTCATATATCGATATTTAATCCAAAAACTCAATCCATATCCAACTAATCTAATTCGTTTAGAATAAAAATGTTGGACCAAAACATTTTTTAAATGTAAAAACTGAATTTTTGGTCTATTTTGAGCTTAAATTAAAGTGGGACCCGTTTGTTATTTCGAATAAATTTTTGTGGATTCGTATTCTACCACATGAGGAAAATAACGTAGTATGTTCGCTTGCTCAAATCGATTAAGAAACGAATGAGAAAATAGGTTTCAAAGTGACCCTCTTAAAATGTGAAAATAGAGGTTGTGTACTGTGGGATTTGATACCAATCCCACATTGGTTGAAGAAGTTATACGTAAGTATATATATATATATACTAAGTTTGCTCTATGAGATTAGGCCTTAAAGGGTACCATAATTTTGTGAGTAGAGCAAACGCTTACATGCCTTCGGTTATGCCACACATGCGCCACCCACCTTGTCACGACCCAATCGAGCATGGA